ACCCCCCACCTCCCGGGCCAGCTCACCCAGGTCCCTCTCCTGCGGATCAGGCGGCAGATTCCCCGCAGCTTCCTCTCCATCTGACCTTCTTCTGCCGGCTCCCCCCTCTCACCTGACTTGCTCACCCGCATCCGCAGACATTCCTGTTGCTCCCCTCCCCGGAAAACGCTTTTCCCTGAACCAATTCTCCTCTTTTATTTAGACCCATTATTCCTATTATTATTATTATTATTATTACTATTATTACTATTCCCCATTCTATTTGCGTTTGTTGCCCCCACAGAACACAGAAACTGGGGGGATGAGAAGCGCTGAGCCCTCCTCCTGGGGGAAATGCGTAAAATGGACTATTTGCGGGAGGGGGCAACATCAATACATCTGAAATCTATAAAACGGGGGAAACGGCCATAATGAACCCTATATTTTTATTACGCACAAATTATTCATGACTTTTCGCAGCATCAGTTCGTAGATTCAGGGACCACCAAAGGTGCGAAGTGCAGCCACCAGCGCCCGCAGCCGCCGCACCGGGGATTTTCGCATGGAGCAAGGCTGCCATCTAGCGGCCACGCCGAGAAAAGGCGCCGTCGCCGCCGGCTCGGCCGGTTTCTCCGAGAGCCAGCCACCCAGGCGAGAAGCCAGGAGAAACTTTCGTTCTTGGCAGAAAAGGGGGAGGGAAAGGGCACCGGAAATCAGGAAAGGGTTCATCGAATTGTGCAGATAAGCTGAAAACAAACAACCCGAAAAACAGGGTGAGGGGGTGGGGAAGAAAAAAATAAAAGCCACGGCTGACACCAGTCCCCGATTCCAAGACCCGAAATTCTGGTGGAGACCGCCGAGCAGTGAGCCGATTATAGCCCCTAAAAGGGGGAGTCGAGCACTTTTCAAACCCAACACATTGTTTCAAATTCTGAGAAGAAACAATTGGGCTTTTTGTGGGGGGAGAGGAGGCCTGAGAGGGTGGAATGGGACTGTAAAAGGATCAAGAGGCTGCCCGCGCCCAGACGTCTGGC